GTGTGCAACGTAGCTTTCGTCGTGTGCAAAATGTAGCATTGTCTGATTGTCACCGACTCGAGAGATCGCGTGTGGTGGTTTTCCGATTGTGGCATGAAAGAGAAGATTCCGTCCGTCCGGTTTCGCATTCCCTCCTACCTTTCTCGTGTTCATGTTCGTCCTTGATTTTCTCCCTCCACCAGTTCGTGACTCTCTCATTTACCAGAGACTCGCGCCGCCTCCCCTCTCTGTACTCCATGCTTGCTTTGACCGCTTCCGAGTTGCTGTCAACGTAGTCTATGGCGTGCTGGTGTTGATGGTGACGACGAGCCTGCCTGGTCTGCACCTGAATCTGGTTGCCTTTTGGCCGCATCTTCCCGTGTTTTTCGTCAAAGTTTCTGTTTTGTATCGAGTGGCGGCAAAATCATGCACTCAATGGACTTGCTGAGTCCATTTAGAGGTATTGTCGTGTGCAGTTCAACACAGCGGATTGCGTTCGGTTCTCGGACAGTCCTTCGCGCGAAAGAGACGCTTCCCGTTGCAATAATTTTCCTCCAAATATTCCCGTGTCTATCTTCGCGTTGGAGTGCGTTACCGGAGTCGAGCTGGAGCTCCCCCCACTCCAGCTTCTCTTTGACCGCTTCAGTCTGAACGGCTGTCAAGGTGCGTGTGCGTGTGACGTTGTTGCCGAGTTGATGATGCTCATGGCGATGACCACCGCATCTGCTGCGCGCGTGAAGCTCCTGTCCGCGTCTGAAACACTCTGTTTGCCGTGACCCTCGAGTCAACTGTCTGACCAACGTTTGCGTCTTGCTCTTCTGTCCGGGTCTGAAACACTCTGTTTTGCCGTGAGCCTACTTCTTGTCTTCCCGGTTTGATATCCTTTTGGTTTTGTATCTCCGTGTGCTGCTCGTAGCTTGTGTGGTAGGTAGTTCAGAGCGGTCCTAGGGCGCTGCGCGGTGGGTTCTCGAGCAATTTGTTCGTGACACCATGACGCGTGTGGGCGGGCTCACTGTCGAAGCTGACCAATCGTGATTCTTAATTGTCACATCGCTGCGTTGCTCTCTCTGTTCGATGGTTGGTTGTCTCTCCTGTTGCTGCAGGTTGCGCTGTTGGGAATTTGAAGTCGCACACCATAGCGTTTGAAGCGAAAGCAGTGCCAGTCGCAAAGATCGGCCGGTTTTCTGCGGCCTTGGCCGTTGCCAGCTTGGTCGTCCTGGCTTGCGCCCTCCATGTCGCGGATGCCAAGGCGCCATGTCCCTGCGCCCCTGGGACGAAGCGCTGCGGTAAGGACGGTCCCTGCCTCAAGTGCTGCAAGGATTGTGATTGCGGCCCCGGGAAGACGTGCGTCAAGGGAGAGTGCAAGCCGTCGTGCGGCTGCCCGSCTGGACTGAAGCGATGCTGTAAGGACGGYCCCTGCGTGAAGTGCTGCAAGGACTGCGACTGTGGCCCRGGGAAGAAGTGCGTCAAGGGMGASTGCAAGCCCTCGTGCTGCCCCGAAGGACTGAAGCGCTGCTGCAAGGACGGYCCCTGCGTGAAGTGCTGCAAGGATTGCGACTGTCCCAAGGGGCACAAGTGCATCCAGGGACAGTGCAAGTCCCCGTGCGGCTGCCCGACCGGGCTGAAGCGCTGCTGCAAGGACGGTCCCTGTGTGCAGTGCTGCAAGGATTGTGACTGTGGCCCCGGGAAGACGTGCGTCAAGGGAGAGTGCAAGCCCTCGTGCTGCCCGCTTGGACTGAAGCGCTGCTGTAAGGACGGTCCCTGCGTGAAGTGCTGCAAGGACWGCGAATGTCCCAAGGGGCAGAAGTGCGTCAACGGACAGTGCAAGTCCCCGTGCGGCTGCCCGACTGGACTGAAGCGCTGCGTTCCMCTMGGTGCATGCGTGAAGTGCTGCAAGGATTGTGACTGTGGCCCCGGGAAGACGTGCGTCGACGGAGAGTGCAAGCCCTCGTGCTGTCCCAACGGACTGAAGCGCTGCTGTAAGGATGGCCCCTGCGTGAAGTGCTG